TGCTTCATCAAGCATTTGTTAAATTGGAAGGAATGATTTAGTAATTATGCATATTTATTATAAAGAACACATTCTCAAACAATAGAATAAAAACATACATTTTAATAGAAAAATTATGTGCCTTTACATAAACATCCTATTTTTTTTTAAGAATTATACGCACTTATTCACTCATTTACTCATTTATTCATTTACTCAAAGATATTAGATGCCACAATTTTACGAAGATAATGTCCAGGAATCCAGGCCTGCCACTTAGAACTAACCTTAAAGAAGTGCCCTCTGAGTCCTAGATTCTCTTGGGGTTGCTGTGAGAATTTGGTAAAACTGTTAGGGAAAACACTTTCTAAACAGAGATGATATTAACACATTATTAGGCTTTTAAATACTGAACCTCTGACTTGTAATGAAAAATATTAATGTTAAAGTATGAAAATGTTTTATAATATGTGTAAGTTTTCCTAAATATTTGAAATTAGAGTTTCCATATAAAATAAACCACAAAAAAGTGGAGCTCAAATGTTCAAATTCAGAAATTGGAATCAATTACTACACATTTAGGAATGTTAAATTTGCTATAAACATTTTGCTTTATCTTCTAAGTATTTAACATTACAGGTTGAGTATCCCTAATCTGAAAGTCTGAAACACAAAATGCTCCAAAATTAGAAACTTTTTGAGCACCAACATGATACTCAAAGGAAATATACTCATTAGAACATTTTGGGTTTTGGATTTCAGATTAGGGATGCTCAACCAGTAAGTATAATGCAAATAATCCACAATTTGAAAAAAAAAAATCATTTCAGGTAAGGGATGCTCAACTTATATTATTTACCTGGTTATTACTTATTTCTGTTCTATAGTATGGTTGCCAAATAGTTGCTATGTTTAAAATACATATTTGCCAAGTAAGTGTCTTAAAATAACATACTTTTAAATGACTTAAGAGATGAGGAACAATTTGTTTGTCAAAATGACTCACTTGAGGTGAGGGATAACTGGCTTTAAAATTTCTTAGCTGTGTTAGTCATCTCCTAGTTGACATTAACTTAATAATTTCAATGTACTTTTATCAACAGTACCATCTAAAAAATTTTGAAGTCACACCTTTAAAATCTGGTGAACCTCATCTTTGCCAATATCAGAGCTGAAATTAATTTTTGTCATTTGGTTAAACATTGACAATTATAAAAGAAAAATGAGTAATACTGAAGATACAATTTTATGGCTACATCGCTGACTATAATTATACATCGGTAATTTAGGATTTAGGGATAGGAAGAACACAGCCAACGAAGGAGTTCAAGTCTTAACATTTCATTTTAAGCTTTTAAATAGTCCTTCTTACCTATCAGCAGCTTGGAATGAAATCTGAACATGTCTGCAACTTTTGCATGCATTCACACCCTTGTTTTGTCTGTCTTTTTGACAGCTGCTCAAGAAGAATACTTTCTTAACAATAATGATCAATTTTCGATTTGTCTGAATTTAAAATTACTTGGTTTTAAGGAATGGTTGAGATCTAATGTTGTATTGAATCACTGTGTTATTTGTATTTAAATTTCATGTAATATATTAAAATATTGGTGAAATAACACAGTGCCTGAGATTTGATTTAAAAATCCCACAAGCCTCCACCAAAAATAAACAAATAAATTGCTATTTTCATTATTGAAAAACATTCTGCTTCAGTAAAATCATCTCAAATTTGTATCAAACCACATGATTTTATATGACAGATTTAAAAATGGAAATAGCAGGGCAATGGAATGCCTTTTATAAAAGTATATTATTTGTGCAGAGTACGATCTTCTAGAGCATGATCTTCATATGTAATATTCAATGTTAAATATATAAGTAATATGACAACTAAAACAATTTTGTTTTTTTTTTTGTATGCAAGTATTCAAGTAATAAAGTTCCTATAGCAAATAGGTATAATTCACACCATCCATTATTTTTGTTTGTTATCTGATATAAGGATTTTATTGGCCCAAATATGGGGAAAAAAAAATAAACCTTTTTTTTTTTTTTGAGACGGAGCCCAGGCTGGAGCGCACTGGCACTATCTTGGCTCACTGCAAGCTCCGCCTCCTGGGTTCACGCCATTCTCCTGCATCAGCCTCCTGAGTAGCTGGGACTACAGGTACCTGCTACCACACCCAGCTAATATTTTTTGTATTTTTAGTAGAGACGGGGTTTCACCATGTTAGCCAGGATGGTCTCAATCTCCTGATCTCGTGACCCGCCCACCTTGGCCTCCCGAAGTGCTGGGATTACAAGGGTGAGCCACCGTGCCCAGCCAAAAAATACCTTTTTAACAGAGATATTTGCTCATAGAGCCAAATGTTGTTTTTGTTTTTATTTAACGTAAAATTGTATTAGCCATTCAACTTTTAGACCTATGGACTGAAGTTGGAAGAAATTTTAAATTACTAGGCTAATATAGTCTGGAACCGAGGTATTATAGCCCTTGAGAAACCTAGAAATTGGAAATATAGAAAATTAGATATTCCTAGAGACAGTTCATAAGAATTTGTTGTTCTTTGTGACTGGTTTCATGTGAGAATAGAAAAAAAAAGGCGGGGAGGGTGTTTTTGTTTTTTGTTTTTAAAGTATTTTAGTTGTATACTTGAAGAAGAAAAAAAAGAATGGTGGCGTCCTTGATTCTAATAAGATAGTTACTAGGAATTATTTATGAAAATCAAACTTTATGAGAAATTAATGACAAGTAGGTAATTTTTTTTTCTTTTTCATCCGTTTTGGTATCATAGATGCTTATTTCAGTAAGTTTATATGTCATTCTTTTGAACTTGTGCTAGTATATTGGGGTGCGAAGATGTCTGTAAGAACATTGTAAATTCAACAATAAGCTATTTTACTTTAAATTTAAACAATAATATTTACTATCTCTCTTGAGTTCTCTCTCTCTTTTTTGGGGAGTGGTGAGGGTAAATAAACAGATCAATCTCAAGTAGTTGCTTTCATAACCTAGTTCCCTAGAGTTCTATAGAGTAGCATTCTTCTGTCACCTCTAGGATAGAAGTAAGGAGCTGGTCTGACTCCAGGAGTCCTCCCTCCCGGCTTCAGCCTGGCTAGCATACTTTCATCTTTTTTACACACTGGGAATTTCTGTCAGATTTTCTTTGTTTTCGTAGGATTCTTCAGTCCTAGGAGAAAAAAAATTGAAAACTATTAGCCTGTGTGGTCTTTGAGGATGTTATCAGTTCACACACTTTCATTGAGCATTAAATAAATTCAGATAGGCTAACCTACATAAATTGCTGTCAGCATAATGAAGTAGAAAGAGAACTTGTGTCCAAATCATCAGTCAAATGCCTGTGATGGTCAAATACGCACTTTAACCTTCCAGGTTATGTTTTCCATTTGTAAAATGTGATGATGTCCTTGCCTTGCTTACCATTCAGAGTTGTTTTAAGGTCAAAATTTTTATCATAGTTTAAATTTCAAGTTGGATCAAGAGTCAGCAGATTTTTTTTGTGCAAATATTTTAGGCTTTGAGCCACATAAGGTCTTTTTCACATATTCTTTTTTTTTTTTACAGTGTTTTAAAAATATAAAAAAATAGATTTTTAGTTGAAAAGCTTTTACAAAAATAGGTCATGAGCCAGAGGCCCATGTATTGCAATGTGCTAGTCACTGGTTTTATTATTAATATCTAATTATTTGAAATTATTAATTGCTAAAACCACCAATAATGATATAAATTAGGCTCGGCACGGTGGCTCCCACCCACTGTGTGATCCCAGCACTTTGGGAGGTCGAGGCGGCAGATCCCTTGTGGTCAGGAGTTGGAGACCAGCCTGGCCAACATGGCGAAATCCTGTCTCTACTAAAAATACAAAAACTAGGCCGGGCGTGGTGGCTCATGGCTGTAATCCCAGCATTTTGGGAGGCCAAAGTGGGCGCGTTACCTGAGGTCAGGAGTTGGGGACCAGCCAGACCAACATGGCAAAACCCCATCTTACTAAAAATACAAAAGTTAGTGGGGCGTAGTGGCGCACCCCTGTAGTCCCAGCTACTCGGGAGGCTGAGGCAGGAGAATTTCTTGAACCTGGGAGGTAGAGGTTGCAATGAGCCGAGATCACGCCATTGCACTACAGCTTAGGCGACAGAGCAAGACTCTGTCTCAAATAAATAAATAAAATAAATTAAAATGCAAAGATTAGCCGGGTGTGGTGGCAGGCAGCTGTAATCCCAGCTACTCAGGAGGTTGAGGCAAGAGAATCACTTGAACGTGGGAGGCGGAGGTTGCAGTGAGCTGAGATCATGCCACTGCACTCCAGCCTCGGTGACAGAGTAGGACTCTGTCTCAAAAAAAAAAAGTAAATCTCAGGAGTGAAGTTTACTCTGCTATGAATTTTGGTATAAATTTACTACTATATAGTAAACAAATTACTATTATTATTATTATTTTTTGAGACAGAGTCTCACTCTTTCACTCAGGCTGGAGTGCAGTGGCATGACCTCGGCTCACTGCAACCTCCATCTCCCAGGTTCAAGCAGTTCTCCTGCCTCAGCCTCCCAAGTAACTGGGACTACAGGTGCATGCCACCACGCCCGGCTAATGTTTTGTATTTTAGTAGAGACAGGGTTTCACCATGTTGCCCAGGCTAGTCTTGAACTCCTGAGCTCAGGCACTCTGCTTGCCTCAGCCTCCCAAAGTGCTGGGATTACACACGTCAGCCACCATGCCTGACCAACAAATTACAATTTTTGAAAGTCATTCAGAACTGGCTGTGTGGCCCTCTGATTTAGTTCAATGATAAAGCTATATTGTTTTGAAAACTGTCAATTTGACATATATTCTATTAAATTTAATTCACCTACAATTGATAATGAGCAAATTCATTATTATATAAAAAACAAGTAGAATGAAAATGGTGTTGATTGTATGGTTTTTATAATGTTCTTTAAAACTCAGTTTCATGTGTTAATCCTTATTTTATGTGAAATTTATTATTATACTCTTTCAGCTTGTATGAGTTCCTCTATGAATAGTCAAGCTTCATTGGACAACACAGATGATGAACAACCAAAACAACCAATTAAAACTACAATGTTATTGAAAATTCAGCAAAACATAGGTATTTAATTTTACTTCTTTGATAACACTGAAAACATATTTAGATTTGAGTTTTCTTGTTACTTTAAAATTTGTGTATTTCATTTCGCTTTCTTAAGATTGCTAGACTTAACAGTATTTATTGGGTATTATGGAAAGTGCCAGGCCCTAGAGATAGAAAGATTTATAATTCATACATTGTCATCCAAGTGCCCTCAAAGATGACACATCCTATTAATTTTTAAAACATTCTTAAAAGAAAAAAATGCAGAGTTTTGGGAATCAGTTAGTATAGTAGGGCTAATGTTTTACAAACTGGTATTCCTAGAATTAGTATCACAGGAGATTTTGATGTGTGTTCTATGACAAAAAATGTCAAATTCAAGTCAGGAATTTTATAATGTATTTTTATATTTTAAAGGCTCTAAGAAATGCAGAATTATTTTAACATTTTCAGACTTTTTGAACAAGGAACATGCAGACTATTGTTTAATGGGGTAACAATTTGAGAAATACTAAGTATTAAGACTTCTGACTGAGAGTTAGGAGCCAGAAGATTTAATTGTAGTTCTTGTCATTCATTAGATAAATTTAATTAATTTTTTTGTACATGTGTGTGTCTGTCTGTCTGGACTACTATGGCCAGTTTCTTTCTTTAGCTTACTATAATCAGGAAAAAATAAAAGTTACAACTTAGACATACTAATTCTTAGATTTTATAATGGTTGAACATGGACTTCTGCAGTTTTCAGTAGCTACACAAATTACACAAGTGGCTTTACATTATAATGGTTGAGAACTGCTGCCTACTGGAACTGCCTTTTTTTTTTTAACCTAAGTAGCATAAGACAGCTGGTATGCCAATAAAAATATTTATATAAGCCCTTTAAAGTGTTTGTTATTTTTTCTCTTAGATACGTCTCAGTGCACATTTGTGCAAGAAAGATACTTTGTCCAACATTCGAAGTCTAGTTTTTCAACTTATGACTATATTTTTCTCTAAGATGTTGCTGCCTTTTAGTATATACATGTGTATGTGTATGTAAGATTGTGTGTTTGTGTGTTTGTGTATTGTTGTTTTTTAGGCCCATCAGTTACCCACATTTCAGAGCCTAGGATTAGTTTGGCCTTTCTTTTGCTCATTCCATTTTCATTTGTTCTGTGTTTGTTTTACTTTTAGGTGTGATTGCAGCATTTACAGTTGCAGTGCTTGCTGCTGGTATCTCCTTTCATTACTTCAGTGATTAGGGTGAGGCACAAAGAGTTTCTTGATCATCCAGAGAACATTGACAGATAATTATGAATAATAAAGATGTTAATCCATCTGTATTTAAAACAGTAGCAGCCAGATCTGCTGCCATGATGCCTATTTGATGTGTTTCTGATTAAAATGAAATCACAAGCTGCCTTGTTTAGTCTGCTTTACATTGTAGGTGGCCCACATTTCCAGAAATAAAGTTATGCATCTAGATGGAAGCTGCATGTAACAAATCATTATTATCTATTTTTTAAAAGGTTCAAAATGATGGGATATGATCAAGATTTTAGTCTTACTAATCTGAATCACATATTAATCAGGACATTAAAAAGTTGAACAGAGGCATGGTGGCTCACACCTATAATCTCAATGCTTTGGGAGGCTGAGGCAGGAGGATCAACTGGGGCTAGGAGGGAGTTGGAGACCAGCCCGGATGACATAATGAGATTCTGTCTCTACTGGAAAAAAAAAAAAATTAGCTGGACATGGTGGCATGCAGCTCTAGTCCCAACTACTTGGAACTACTTGGAGGCTGAAGCGGGAAGATCACTTGAGCCCAGGAGTTTGAGGCCGCAGCAAGCTATGATCGCACTACTGTACTCCAGCCTGGGTGACAAAATGAGACGTTGTCTCTAAAATAAATAAGTAAATTTAAAAAGTAAAAAAAAATAGTAATTTGAACAGTCAATGTTGATGCAATGTCTTAGTAATAGAGCACTAGGAGAAATTTCTACCAAGTGAAACAACAACCTTATGATAAGCTCATCTTCTAGGAGTTTTCTGACGTGCACTCAGTTCCTATATACTGTGTGTTTTGTTCTGATCAAGGGGTAGGGAACCTTTCCAGAGAGGTCCCATTAGTAAGAAATGACATAAAATATGTGCTTTCTCAGGTTACTATATAACTGTTTTAGTATACTTAATATACAAAATAAGACTTTGCTTCCAGCAGGTATGTTAGACCAGATATTATAAAACAACTAGATCCTGAATAAAATCTGCTTTTGAATAGGTTCACAGGAAGTAGGAGAACTTTCAAGAACCATACTTCTATACTTCTGCCTTTCCTCTGCCACAAGAAATGGATGCATTTTAAGTTAGGAGTCATGAATACTGTATTGACCATACAAGTGGACTATGCTTGTCTGGGTGGCAGATACCAATAGCAACACTGCCATATTCAGTTTGCCTCAAATCAGAAACAAGAAGACATCTGAATCTGAGATGCTGCCCTAGAGAGGACAGTTAAAGAAGGTTCAGTGGCCCTCAGTTTGTAGTGCTGTAGCTCCTGGCAGAGGCAAGAGGGAAACATTCCTAATTTAGTTCCAAGATTCCTATAGATTGTTATCAAGTAGTATTATATTATGACTAGAGATCACAGGCACAAGTTGAAACAAACTAGCATGACAAGGAAGCTGTAGAAAAAATAAACATTGAACTCAGTTCTTCAAGGTTTCATCACCAACATAAGAAATGAAGTTGGAACCACAGGCAGATCTGAAAAAGAAACAAATAGAATTCCTAGAAATGAGAAATATTTATTGAAATAAGAAAAAAGCCCTCAGACATGGTGAATATTTTATTAGACTCAGCTGAAGAGACAAGTGAACTATAAGCTGGATCTAAAATTACCCAGTGAGCAGTGAGGAGAAAGAAGGAGCTAGAAAACATTAGAAAGTTAAGAGAGTTGGAGGGAAGAATTATAAAGACTAGGAGTACTAGAAGGAGAGAATTTAGAGAATGAAGGAAAGGCGTACTTGAAAAGATAAAACAATTTTCCAAATTTGTTGGAAAAACATGAATTCATAGCTTCAGAAAGCACAATATATACCAAACATATATTTAAATAAAATCCAGGCCTAGACTCAAGGTATTGTAAATGATAAGATACCAAAGAGAAAATTTTAAAAGCAACCATGGGGAGAAAAAGATCATCATCAGTGAAGGCAAGACAGTCAAATACTTAGTAGGCTTCCTAACAGCAACGATATACCCAAAAGAGGGTAGACTTCCGAGAAAAACTGTTAGCTTAGAATTTGCAGCAAGTGAAACTGAAACAAACACAGGCTGAGATGAAAAACAGATGTTATCCTCAGCAGAACTTCAGGAAAGAGACTACAAAAGGATGATCTTCAAGAAGGAAAATGATTCTAAAAGGATGATCTGAAATTGAAAAACTAGCATAAGTAAATTGTTTGGATAAAACAATTATAATGAAAAGTGTTTATAAGAAATTGTAAACAAATGTAAAACTAAATAAACGTTATGCAACATTAATAATGTGGAATTTTTAAATAAGGATATAATTGAAAAACTGGATAATAGCGGTTGGCTGGCAGAAGGGTGATTGGAATTAGAGGGTTCTGAGGTTCTTTTATTCAGAAAACTGGTTAAGATACTATTTAACCTTAAAATTGACTATGTTATAATAAATATATGTAATCAGAGTTCAGGGGTGACTGCCACAAGAATAGATAGGGGATTGGCCAGGCACTGTGGCTCACACCTATAATCAGCATTTTGGGAGACTGAGGTGGGCAGATCACTTGGGGTCAGGAGTTTGAGACCAGCCTGGCCAACATGGTGAAACCCCGTTCTACCAAAATACACAAAAATTAGCCGGGCATGATGGCAGGTGCCTGTAATCCCAGCTACTCTGGAGGGTGAGGTGCGAGAATCACTTGAACCGGGGAGGTGACAGTTGCAGTGAGCCGAGATCGTGCCACTGCACTCCAGTGTGGGTGACAGAGTGAGACCCCATCTCAAAGAAAAAAAAAGATAGGGGATGAATCATTCCAAAGGAAAAGAACTTTAAAATACAGAATAGGTATGCAATAACCTAGTACAAATAAAGGAGGAAATAATGGAGGTGGGGGAGTGAAGTTAGAAAGTAAGATAATAATAACAAGTCTAATATTAATTATGAATAGACAATTACCCGATTAAATGATAGCATTGGTCAGATTTTTTTAAAAACCCAACTAGGCTTTTTAAAACACCTAAAATATTAGACATGAGGAGGTTGAAAGTAAATATTTTTTAAAAATGAAGTAGGTAAATACTAAAAACGTGTAGCTTTAGTGATATTAAAATAATTAGATTTATGATATTAAAGATTGAGAAGTCCATTAAAAATAGTTAAAGGATCAATTTACTAGGTATATATAACAATTTTCAGTGTGCCTTTACCATATGAAATGGCCTCAAAATGTATGAACTGAAGCAACTATAGGGCTGAAGCAACAAATTGAACAACAATGGGAGATTTCAACAACTAACTAATGATAAAGAATTAGTGAAAGCATTCTTAATATTGAGTCAATAAACATTTAGAACAATGTATTAAACAGAGAATATTTTTCTTAAGCATTGTATATTAGCAAAAATTGACCATGTATTTTAGGCATAAGCAAGTTACAAAACATCAAATAATTGGTATTAAATGGATAATCAGAAGCCAGTGGAGGTCAGTAATAAAGGTTAAATTTTTTAAAGTCTTACATTTACATGTTTAAATCGTCACAAAGGAAAAAGGAAATACTTGAAACCTAGTTACAAGTAATATATATATATATATTTTTAATTGGGTATTACAGCTAAAACAGCACTTTGAGGGAAGTGGCTTTAAATGCTTAAGGGAAAAGACTAGATGTGTAACTTAGAAAATAGTAAAAGCAATGTAGAAGCAAGAAGATACAGGCAAGGGAATAAATCAATGAATTAGAAAATGATAAAGAATTACATGTCAAAGTTGTTTTCATGACAAAACAGTAAAAGTGGCATAATTGAACAAGATGAAATGGGACACAAACAATGTGAAGATTGAAAAAGCGGTCTGAATCCATTGATAAAGCAGGGATGAAAAAGTGACTACCAGGAACATCTTAATGCTAATGTATTTGAAAACTTAGACAAAATAGACCAAACTCCAGAAAATTGCAATTTACTTAAATTGGCTCAAGAAGAAATAGAAAAGCTGAATATACTTATTCATAGGTTGAATAGTAAACAATAATTAACTTTTTGACGAGACCTGGCACAGGTTTACAGGTAAGTTTTACCCCTCTTTCAAGGGGGGTAAAATTCCAACATTTTATACAAGCTCTTTCAGACAAAAATAGCTAATGAGGGAATACTTGCCAGCATATTGTGTGAGGTTGATATAACTTACTGATTCTAAAATCAGAGACATTCAGTAGGAGAAAAGAAAATTACAGGCTAATAGCACTTATACTTGTAAAGTCAAAAGCACTATTAATAAACGTTGACATACTAAAACTGCATCATGACCAAGTTGTATACTTTGAAAATCAGGAACATAAGGGTGGCTATTATCACCACTTCTTGTGCTTTTTTTTTTTTTTTTTTTAAATGGAGTCTCGCTCTGTCGCCCAGGCTGGAGTGCAGTTGCGTGATCTCGGCTCACTGCAATCTCCACCTCCCGGGTTCAAGCGATTCTCTCGCCTCAGCCTCCCAAGTAGCTGGGATTACAGGTGTCTGCTCCCACACCCGACTAATTTTTATATTTTTAGTAGAGACAGGGTTTCACCAAGTTGTCCAGGCTGGTCTTGAACTCCCGACCTGAGGTAATCCGCCTGCCTCGGCCTCCTAAAGTGCTGGGATTACAGGCGTGAGCCACTGCACCCGACCACCACTTCTATTTATCACTGTCCTATAGAAAAATAAGCAAAAGACAAACCAGGTATTTTCAGAGGATGTGGCTGAACACATGAAAAGATGTTTTACCTCTTAAGTGATTGGCTAATTAAAACCATAATGAATAATATTTTGCATTCAATAGATTGCAAAATTAAAGGATATGACAATACCAATAAAGATGATGGGCCTCAGTTTTTCACGCTGCAGGTAGGATTTTGAACTGATAGGCTCCTCAGAAAGCAATTTGGCACTCTCTCTTAGCGTTAAGCATTCACATACCCTAACCAGTCTACGTTTACATAAATGCCTTCGAGAAATTCTTGGACCTGTGTACCTCAAGAGTGTTCGTGGCAGCTCTGTTTTTAACCACTCAAATGACCACTGACAACAAAAAATAAATTAGGGGTTTTGTAATTTTGTTTAGTAGGGAGGATGACCTACATGCAACAACCTAGAGTAATTGTAAAAATGATAAAGCAAGTCTCAGGAGTCTACGTACAGTATGCTACAGTTTTTATAAAGCTGTAAAAGAAACCTAAAGTGTATTATGTAGGAATATGTATATTTGTGATAAACTTTGACAAGAGTCATAAAATTCAGGATAGTGGCAAGGTGTAACACATGAATACATAAAACAATATTAGTGATACTTTGGTTCTTGAGTAATGGGTTTCTTGATCTTCATTTCATTTACTTAATGGCACTAACATGAATTTTGGGGGGTTGTCTGTTACTAACAA